CTTGCTCAGCATCACATCTTTCCTCCAAACTTGCAGCAAAACTGGCAGACTTGCATGGGCAGTGAACTGTGTGAACCACCACATCTACCCAGGTGCACTCATAAATCCAAACTGAGAGCCAGTAAACATTTCCCCCAGACAATCATTGTGTGATGTTTTGAGACAGCTGGAGGGATCTTTCAGCTCAGTGGTGCTCTGTCACTGGAGATCAGCACAGTCCAGTGACCAGGACCAGCACAGAGCAGCCCCTGCAATCCAGCGAGAGGCAGGGCTGGGACTCAGAGGAATGGCCCTGGAAAGGCACAGCTCTGCCTGTATGGAAATCTCTTTTTTTTTTCCTCTGTTCTGTCAGCAGGCAGGCAGAGGTGGCCCCAAGGAAGCAGTTTCACCAGTACACCTGGTTCTTCATCAATTTATCAATAGCAAAATTAAGAAGGGAGGAGGAAGTGATGGGAGGCCAGGGGAGTACAAAGCCACGCTGTGGCTGCAGTGTGCTCCTCACCAGAGCTCCTCCCAAGCACAGTCAGAGATGTGCCCACGGCAGAGCTGAAGTTCTGCAGTTTAAGTTTAAGACTTGGGGAGAACCACGAGGTAAGTCTTTCAGCTAAAACCGTTTGAGACATTATCAAAGCTTAGACGAAATACACTCACTTGTAGCAACGGGAAACTGTTCTAGGTTATCACTCTAGCTCCTGTGCTGTACCCACAGCATGACTTCATCTTTTGCAATCATCTGAGTCAAGAGGTAGGCTATTTATTTAGAAATTCTGCCATGAGCGATCAGCCTGCACAAAGTTAGAGTGGAAACCAGTTTTCTTGTTTAAGGAAGAGGGAAACTGGCAGTGCTTAGCAGAATTGCAGATGACACTGGGTTTTCCTTGCACTCTGTCACCCCCTGAGCTAAACTCCTGTCCCTGGAGTCACTGTGGGAACATCTCCTCACTAAGAACTCCATCCAGGAAGTTTCCTTCCACGTCAGCCCCTTGGTCACCCGTACATCACCAAAAAAAGGATCCTTTTGCATTCAATTCACTGAGTAAGGCCCATCCCTGAAGGGCTCAAGCATCTCCCTGCTTTCCCACAGAGGTCAACGGAAGTAGAAGAGATGTGCTGACTCCCGAGAATCAGTCATCTCTGGGGTGTTATTCAAAGGATTCCTCCCTTTACTGGAGGGAAAACCAGCATCATCTCAGCTGATCAGAACTAGCTCATGTAATAACTATGAAACAATAACACATATTTGGGAAAGGGTCATTAAACCCTAGCAGGTATTAGATTGATAATTTTTTTCATTTTTCATTCTCAAAACAGTGTTAGTATTTCCAAAATGTTTCCACATCCAGGCATGATAGCATTTGATGCTGCTATTTTATATCATTATACTTCTTTTTTTTTTTTTGCAATAGTTCAAATGCTTGAGATTTTGAAAGCAATTCTAGCAACTGTTTCTTAAAAATATTGAGTCAATGTAAATTATGACTTGAAGTGAATGCCACATAATTTATTGTCTTATAAATGAAACCACTTAAATGTTAAAATATTGTGGTATGAAGATATTTAGGCATTTGACAACATGGTCTCCTACCAGCCCCTGGAATGATAAGGCTGAAAAGTGGAAATCTTTCAAGCGTTATCACTGACACACAGAAAGAGATTGCCCAAAGTAGGAGATAACACACAAACACAGAGTATTCCTCAAGAGAAAACTGCCAGGTCTTTTCTGTTTTGAGCCTGCTGTGATAAATAATTTCACTGTCTGCCATTTCCTTTTCTATCCCCACCTAAGAAGAAAGGATAGGTCAAACTTTGCCAGTCTGTTGCTCCAGCAATGCTATGCTGGATGATAACAGCCAAAAACCTGATCCAAGTGAAGCAGCTCCTAGCATAAATAAGAATTACACACTGAAGATGTAACCCTTCGGTGCATATTTCACTCAAATACTTCAACCAGCACTAATTAAAAGTGTATTTAGCTGCCTTGGTTACAAGACTAGCCCCAAAGTCATGAGACAACGAAATCTGAATTAGAAAGCAGCAGCCCCATGACTGATCACTCTGCAGTGAGCCTGTGTCCTGGAGAGTCGCCAGCATCCCAAAGTGTCCATAGAAACTTCCCATAGTAAGTGCCAAGCTGAACTGGCTTCAGCCAAACAGTGCTGGCCTTGGAGAAGGCTGTTCAAATTTCCACCCTTAGCATCAGTCCTTAGCCACCCAAACTCTAGAAATGCCTCATGGGGCAGAGGGAGAACAGGTTGCCAAGAGCTTCCCCAAGCTGTGACGTTTGGGAAACAGATTCACTCAAATGCAGATAGAAATCTCCCTAAGTTAGTGTTTCTTGCTTTTGTCAGCTGCCAGGAGCAGAGATGGGTGAAGCAAGAATCCACACCATTAGGAATTATACCTGCTTTACTTGGATAATCCTTGTCTAAAAGAAACAGCATCAGCTAACCCATTTCAGCCCCTTCTTTTCTACTTCTGTAAGAGCCATAAGGAGCAGAGAAGCAATTCCAGCTTTCATAAAGCTGCTGCAGGCTGAAAACTACTTCCAGAAACACTTAGGTGCAACTCCTTCAACCATCACTCAGCAAGGACCCAAACAAACTGGAAAGCCTCTCTGCTGTGTCCCAGACTGACTTTCCTTCTGGCTTTCTACTTCCCTGCCCTCTGCACCTGCCAGGGTCACGAGTTTTTTCAGTCACTGGCTGTGAAACTCTTGGCATTCCTGGGTGGCAGCTGCAGGGGAGGTGTGCACATCCAAAGGCACAAGTGTGACACTCCTACCCAACACGCTTCTGGTATCCCACTTTTTCCTGTCCTGCCTGACATCTGCCTGCTCTACCAGGACGCAGAGAGTGGCCACGGGTCTGCTCCACCTTCCTTCTGCCAGCACAGGGAAGCAGAGGAGTCAGCAGAAGGAAACAAGGTGTTCAGCCACAATTAACACACAGCATTGCTGCTGCTTGGCACACATCAGTGAGCAATAAGGGCCACGAGTGATTTTTGTACAAGATCTGCTAAGGTGAAGACTTTGGAGGAGCCTCCTTCCACTTTGAGAGTAAAACATTGAGTTTCGGGGTGGGAGCAGAAAGTTCACACTTTCTGCTCAAGTCTCAGAGAAAATGTTCTCCAAGATCTACCAACTTTTTGCTAACATTGTGACCTTCCTTCAAAAGCATGGAAACAGCCATGGCCCAACACCCACAGAAGTTTAAAAGGGCAGTGAGGCACTTTCAAGCTGGGTTCTGTAGTGCTCTTTCTAATTTTCTGCTCTTAGAAATGTCTCTCTAGTCAAAACAATAAACTGCGATATCAAAGGCATCTGGCTTACTTCTGAGTTGCAGCCACCCTCTGTTATTTTAGACTGATCACACTCACATATGCCATTGTAAAAATTCCCCCCAGATCACAGCTTCAGTATAATTTAGTGCATGACTCAATTTGCAATTACAGCTTTACACTTTCACATCCCCTTCCCTCAGCCTGAGCCACTGCCCAGCACACAGCACAGCCTGACCTACTAATTCCTTCTCCTCATCCACAGCTCCTGCCTGTGCCATGGAGCATCGTGGGGAGGGAGCCTTCAGTCAAGACCTGGGGTGACAAAACATCCCACCCCATCTAGGTATGATGTTCCACACTGTTAAATCCAAGGCATGAGTTCTCCAGTTTCACTGGCCAACCCAGTGATGTAATCCCAACTTTGACCTTTTAGGGGGCTGAAAAGCTTTAGCAACTTGCAAGGGCCTTCCTTCATGCTTGCTCACCATCCCATTTTCTTTACCAATTCTGCCTGGAATTGCCACAAGAACATACCAAGCCAGGTACCACCTGTTTACCTCCTATAAATTAGGATAACACCAGCACTGAATAGATTTCCAAGGTTTTACTTCCAAATGGCAAGCAAAAGCTTGCAAGGCTATGCAGCCATGGAAGCCCTTCCACACACAGCCCAGCTGTCTTTGATGGGTAACAGAATGATTTTGTACCAGCAGCCAAAACACCATGCCTGAAGGCAGCTCTGAGCTAAGCCTGGGGGCAACCAGCCAGTCCCCAAATCCACCAGCCAGCCTCCAAATCCACCAGCCAGTCCCCAAATCCACCAGCCAGTCCCCAAATCCACCAGCCAGCCTCCAAATCCACCAGCCAGCCTCCAAATCCACCAGCCAGCCTTCCCAGCCCCTGCCCCACACGGGTACAGCTGTTAGCCCATCCCACTTGCACAGTTACAGCCAGGGGATGTGGAGCAAAGGGAGGAAGAACTCCATCTCCACATCTCCAGCATTCCTCATCTATTAGATTTCCACAAAAAACAGTGGCTTTGCTTTCCTTTCTCTTTCCATTACATGCCCAAAATGAAGTTTGTGATGGAATTATAAAGTAATTAGTTTGGATAACAAAGCACATCACTGTTACTAGTTAGTAAAATACAATTCAGGAAACTGCATGTTGGTAAAAAGAACAGAGACTGAATTAAAGATGAAATAAAGTACAAATAGCTCAGCTTTCCAGCAAAGGAATCCATGCTAGGAAAGGATCAAGATTAGTTAAGGTAGTTCTTTTAGAATGGCTTCCTCTTCACAAATGCCAGCAGATGAAAATGCAGCAAAAATGAATTATTAATGTTGTAAGTTGTAGGTTAATGCAAGCTATTTCTTTGAAAAGGAAGAGCAAACCTTGCAATATTATTTTCCAAATAATGAAATTTGTATCATATTTTTTCACTATTTTAACAATTAAACATTTCAATCATTCTTGATGGATAAAGGTCAAAACTCTCAAATCCAAAGCAGTAGTTTTTAAGGGGTAGTTACCACTAGCTCTGGCATTAACAGCTGCCATCCCCAGGTCTCTGCTGGCATTAACATCACTTTGACACAGCTTGGATCCCACCACTCAGCCATGTATCACACTATCAGGGAGCACTGCACTTGCAGTAGCTGAATTCTCATTTCAAAAATTCCTTGTTGGGAGCTAGAGAACTGTTTGAGATATGCAGCGACTTCAGAGCACAAGAGGTGAAGTTTTGTTCTAAAAAGCCATAATGAAACCAGGAACAGTTTCCAGAGCAATTTCCACTAAAACACAAAGCATCCATGGTAGATGGAGAATTAAATTAAATTCTCATTTTTTTGTTAAATGTGATGACTGGCAATCCTGACTAAGGAGAGGATTCATCTCACCTCTGGATATTGCCAGTCTACAGGAATTGGCCAGCCTTTCCTCTTGGGCACTAGAGATGCCACTTCCAGAGGGATTCCCATCACATAGTCAAGACGAATCCTATCCCCTTCTCCTTCATTTAAATTTCCTACTGACTTAACAAATCAAAATTCAAACAGTCCCATTCTTAGAGCTGGGAAAAGAAAACCACTTCACTGCAGGTGAATCATTAATGACTGAGGGTTTGCTTGAGATGCTCCAACTGGGACAACATCTAAAACTGGTCCCACTGTCAAGGGCCCTATGCTGGTGGTGGCAAAAACGTCTGATTCAAGGTGGAACTGCACCTGGTTCGAGGCCACTGAACTTGACTGTTTCCCAGTGAACTGAGAGGGCTTTGGAGCAAGGCAGAAACGATTCTCTCCTGATGCTGGCCCGTGTAAGCAGGGCAGTGATCAATGAGAAGCCAAGCGAGTAAAGTGGTCTCTGTAATTACAGAGCTGTGCTGGTGAAGCTGCTTGCAGGGCAAGGCAGTCAGCAGAGGTGAACACCCATGAAGGGAAATGGCATCACTGGCCAGGGCTCGTGCACAAACTCCCCAGGGAGGGATTAAGACACTCACGTAGGTTTTTATGACTGACTCGACCAGTCCTTCAGCAGCCCTGTCCATCAGAGGAACAGCAGGCAAAATATTTAAAGCAACAGTAAAATCTTAGTCTTACTGCAATTAAGTTTTCACCCTGAGTCTTTTTTGGCAACTCACAATCTACTGGTAGACGAGAGCATTTTGTGATTGCACTAATACTTCTGGAAATTAATTTTAATTGCTAACTTGTGCGTCTTGGAGCATAAATAAATTCACAGCAAAAAGTCCTAAGCAATCATAAAAATTGCTCCAAAAATTGCATGGTGCATGTTAAACTCAGGTGTTCCTTGGAATCCACTGCAAAATATTGTGATTGCAGAGATCCTCGTGTGTCCAAAGGCAAAGCCAAGGTTTTGTTTTGCCAGCCACAGACACAGGAGACCAAACCTGTCTCTCTCTCTTGCGTGGGAGGCTTCAGGACATCAGCCCAGAGGTTACATTCAAGCCTCTGTAACTTTTCTGGGGTGTTTTTTTTCCTTTTTTTTTAAAGAAAATATTCAGCTTGGTCATCTTTAAAGACACAAAGCTTCCAACAACTTTTCAGGAAGATATTAATATAAATTATTATATTTTTTCAATCTGTCATCCATCATAATATCTTTAGCTCTTCCATACAAAAGACAGTGTTAGGTTTAAAGGCTCATAAACACAGTGGAAGTTGGCACAGTTCTGGGAGTACACGAGCACCTGTTTTGGGATACAGTGCATATTTTTCATGTGTTGTGTTTACCCTGAGAAGCCTCATAGGCTCACACTTCCCAGCACTTCACCTGACTTCACACTACTGAGAAGGGTCCTTGGTTTGGGCATCCAAGTAAAAAGGCATCTTTCACATATCACAAAAACCTGTCCTCGCAGTCCTGGAGTCCTGGCCACAAGTTCCAATTAAATCAAGTAGTTTTGAGGACTTCGTTGTCCAAGATAGCCTCTGGACTACATTGCCAAAAAAATTACAGACTGGAAATACATCAAAGGATTAATTACTTCCAAAAATAACCCGGACAATTGCCACGTTGCCACGTTTGCCTGAAGTTCTCAGTCCCCTCTATTAGGATTTAGTTGCCTAAAACTGCAGCTTCCAGAAATAGCATCAACTTGCTGAACTTCTCCTTGGACAAGGAATCCAAGCACAATTTAAGTAAATGAACGTGCAAAGTACTGTGATGAGTTAACCTCTAAAATGCCTTCACTTTTAACAACAAAGAGCAGAGGCACTTCAGCAGCACAACAGTATTTGCCCTGGATCCTTAAATATCCCAGGGCGTTAGTGAATCTAGGCTAAATGGTAGATCAGAGCTAAAGCAGGATGAAGGCAAACAAGCTGCTTGCTATTTATTATCTACCAGGGAACTAACATTAAGTCAACACACAGCACCAACTCCTTCCTTGGCTTTTTGAGTTTGACTTTTGAGTGTGTGATGGGTCCTTCTCTGCACGTTTCTCACCAACATGCTTGTGCACACCTGATAAATAAAATGGGGCCTCGAAGCTGCTCGTAACCCGGCTTTTGTCTTGTTCTTCCACCTCATCACTGCTGTAGTGGCAGGCAAAGCGGGGGGAGCTGGCAGACTTGTGAGGCTTCAGCAGGCGGAGGTTGGTGGGCTGGGAGGGCAGCGCGTGTTGTCCTCTCCGTCTGCACTCCTCGGCAAAGGCTTCTTCGTCTGCCTCCCCTGCAAAAGGAAAAAAAAAAACAAACGCAAGGAAAGTAAGCTGCACCCAGAATGCATCAATTCAGCCTGGAAAAAAAAAAGCCCTCAGAAATGGGCTGGGTGTTTGGGGGCACAAAACCAATGTCTTGGCTGTGGTTGGTCACGGACAGTCCTGTGTATCTGCAGACTGGGGAGTGTCTGGAGCAGAAAGTGTAACAACGGTGTTAGTTTTGCGCTATTTAATTAGTGGTTTGTTTTAGGTTTTTTGTATCTGCAGACTGGGGAGTGTCTGCAGCAGAAAGCTCCATCATTGGCCAGTCACTACACTGAAGCCACCCAACACAGTCCACTAGATATGGTGACTCAGGGGCCACTGTCCCCTTTTGCCCAAAAGGCAGGGTGAGGGAGCTGAAAACATGGCCCTGGACAGGATTTCTGTCCTGTGCAGAGCATGTCATCACATCCCACCTCACCTGGACTGTCCTGCTTGAGAGAAAGGGAGAGATGAATACCCAAACTGCTTACAGGGGTGGTGGGACAAGAATTTAGACAACATGGGTTCAGAGGGGCCAGATGTTGGACATCACAGCTGGAAGGATGGTGGAGATGTGTGATGGACCACATGAAGACAAGATCTCATGTTGAAGCTGTGAGAGGTAAGCAGCCCAGGGGCAATGCAGGCACACACAGCACAGGCCAATGAACACAATGGAAATAAAACCCAATGTTTGCAAAAACTGGTATGAAAGATGAGGTACTCCCGTCATACTCATGCTGTTTTGCAGATGACACTTTCCTTTGCTGCAGAAACTGTAACACTACCACTGCGGCAAAGCCGAGAAATCAACTCCCATAACACACACAGAACTCAGCAAAACCACACATTGAAAAACAAAGACCCCAAAAAGTCAACAAAATATGTTCAACAGTGAAAATAAGGGGGGCAGAAGGGAAAGACAGAGAACAAAGGTGTGTACCACATTTGTCTCTTAAAGGCTTTTTAAAGTTTCATTAGTTCAATTACTTAAGTACTTCTAATAGAGCTGATGAAATATGGCATCATTTTTATTTTCATCAAAAGTGGTGTGTCATATTCTGGAAGTTTTTTCCTGGGATGTGCCCAGCATCAGCTGCTCAGGGAGGGGTGTGTGCTCTCAGCTAATGCGTGTGCTCTTAGTTCATGGCTGGAAAATGCTTTGAAGATGAAAAAGGCACCACATATGCAACACAGGACAGAGCAGGAACACCCACTTTGTGTGTGCCCCACACCACCACTTCCAGACACAACGGGCTGCATTGTCTTTACCTTGTAATCGTACACGGGGAGATGCTTCTGAGGGCATGAGGAAAAGGAGGCAAGGCGTGTTTAAAAAGTCATTTCAGAGTGCAGTGAGGCACCCGAGGCCCCGCAGCAGAGGAGGACTCCAGGACGTGCCTCACATCGTCCTCCTGAGCGTCCAACAGGCTGGGCTTGGGTGTGAGCAGAGGATGCTCCTTCCCCACTGGTTAAATGCCCATCCCCACCTCCACACTCCTGATTCTGTACCCTGGTGTCCCCCTCGCTTCCAAAAGCACAAGCAAACACCACAGAAACACGGGTGGTGATAAGATCATCACTCACAAGGATTTCTGCATTTAGCCTCTGCCTGCCTGCATCACGCCAGTGTAAAACCCTGGGTGTATGGTTCTCCTTGCAGTAGGAGAGGGCTGCCAGGACAGCACCAGGACTCAGCTACAAGAGGCAGAGGGCAAGGAAAAGCTCAGGGAATGCCAGATGCAGAATTGCCATCATTACCCATAAGAGGCTACAGGATTTTACACACTATACAAACAGCACTGAAGCAGGTATCAGGCTGATGGTGAAGGTAAGCCTATAAAATGCCAAGACTAAGGAAAAAAAAGCACATGGAACCTATTTACATCAGCTGCACACACACAAAACAGTCAAGAGAGTTCATTTCCTACCAAATTACAGTGCACCAGAAATAGGAGATCCCTCCTCTCCCATGAAAACACAAAGTGCAGGTGCATTTCTTTTTCATGTGCAAAGTCTCGCTTAATGTATGTTTAAAATTTATATTTGCAAATAAATGCAGGAATGGGAAACATGCCGAGGCCATTCTTGAGGCTCTGGGTGTGTTTGTGCATGACAGAGACATCCCAACCAGGCACACTGACACAACTCCTCTGTACTGGGCTCAGGGAACCACCACACCTTTGGAATCACAGAATACTTCAGCTGGAAGGAACCTTTAAAGCTCATCTGGCCCAACCCTCCTATAATAAGCAGGGACATCTTCCAGCAGATCAGGGTTTCTCAAGGCTCCATCCAACCTGACCTTGAATGTTTCCAGGGATGAGACATGTCCCAATTTGTGGACAATTTGTGCCAGCGTTTCACCATCCTCACTGTAAACATTTCATCGTTGTATCTAAGTCAACCCTCCTTCAGTTTAAGACCATTACCCCTTGTCCTCTCACTACAGGCCCAACAAAAAGTTCTGTCTCCATCTTTCTTATTAGCTCTCTTTAAGTATTTGAAAGGATTAAATCCATCTTGATCATGAAAGAGTCCTTCAGTCTTCCATATCCCCAAAGCAAAGGCAAATTTTAGACCCCAACAAGTAAACCTCAAAACTTTTCCCCTCTTATGAGTGGGAGAGCAGGATGGCACCACAAATCAGTTAAATGGTGTAATACCATGTCAGCTGTGACTGAAAGACTGAATCAACTCCAGTGCTATGCATGGCATGAACTGTCTGATCCTCCTCTGATCATCCACCTTTAGCACACCTGGCACAGCAAAACTAAGGTGTGATTTGCATCAACTGTTCTCTCCTGTTCTACATACTTGAAACATTCAAGCCAGACTGTACCACTGCAAATAGAAAACCTGAATAGAATTTACTCTGGGAGAAGTCAGCCACAAAGGACATCACCACCAAAAAGTGCTTAAATTCTGCTAGAGTTTTGTCAGCAGTGATGTTTATCCTAGAAATGGCTTTTAGGAAGACAGCTGGTAATGGGGGCTATGGGTATGGAATACTTGAGTTCTGAGCAGGAATATCCACCCAAGGAGCACCTTCCAGGAGTGCTCAGGGTGCTTTAAAGAGCTCTCAGTTCCCCCAACACCTCCTTCTTGCCATCCCCTGTGCCTCCAAGCCAGCACACCCACGTGAGAGCCTGGGCAGCCACGCTGTGACCCCAGGCAGGGGCTGGCCCATGTTAAAAATAACTCTTTTGGCAGCTTATTTTTAACCCAGCTCGGGGCCTGCAGCCAGCTCATCGTGCAGCCACCCCAGCTGGGGCAGGGAAGGGGGAAATTATCGAGGGCAGCTGGAATCAGCATCCAGGTTATGGTGTTAAGAAAAGATCTTATTCTACTAATGAAAATAATAATTAAAAACCTAGCAGTTATTTCATTTGCACAACCAGTTTGGAGAAGTTATGTTTCTAAAGGTTAATTCTGACAATTACAGATTTGGCATTACCAGTAGCATTTAAAAACAATAATTAAGATTTGGTTTTCTAGTGCACCATGTTCTCTGAAACGAACAGCAGCTTCCAGGGAAGAAAAAAAAAAAAAAAAAAAAAAAAAATACAGAGCTGTAGCATCCTAAAAAGCTGTGTTGGGGCTAAAAGCTGCTTTCTGCTCCAAGCAAGAAGAGCTGGAAAATAACTTGTGATAGCAGAGATGGCAGGGGAGAAGAGGGCTCCCTGGTGCCAGCAGAGGGCAATATTGGCTGCGGCCAGGTGTGCCAGCGGAACAGCCGCGGCCAGCCCGGACCGCGCCGTGTCACCGCGATTTTACACGGATAGGACCAGGTCGGGGCTTAGGGGAGCCACCAGCTACACCCAAGGGTCTCTGATCCCGGAAAATGAAGATAACTCACACGAATAAAAGCACCGGCAGAGACGGCCAGGTGAGCTGGGACAGGTAAGTCTCGCAGCACTTCATGACAAAGCAGTCCCCCACGGGCTAGCATTGTTATTTAGTGTTATGTTTAAGTAATATTTATGTATGTCCAGGAATTGAACTGAAATCCTAGCAGGAATCAGCAGTAATTAATGGCAAGACAGTAATGACAGAAGTATGCTGAACAAACCAGGGTAAACATCCTGAGGAGATGGAGCTGCTGATTTGCATTTACCAGCTCACTTCCCGCACGGCGCTGCTGTGTCCTCACCAAAGAAATACACCTAGAATCAGGATTTCCCCTATGTGATGAAATAAAAAGCAGGTGCACCAGTTTGCTCAGTCAAAGGAACACTTCCCTGAGGCCACAAACACCACAGAGCCCCTGGTTCCACACGCAGCATCAGGAGATGCACTTGGCGAGGGACATCTGCTGCATCCAAGGACACAACAGCTCCCAGCTCAGCTCCTGCCACCCGGTTATTCAAAGACGCTTCCTCCATTCAAATCTTCTTTGAAGGATAGCCTGTGTTTTTCTAATACTTCAAGACTCTGAATTTAAGGGGCATGTACACTCAGAGCAAGGCATGATATTGCTGCTTCAGCTGGCAGTCTGAGGTTCGTTCACCTGACCCGTTCCTGATGCACGCTGACATCACAAAGAGTGCAGAAAGCGGGATGGGGGAAGCTTTTCTTGAATTTTTTCCCCCTTCCTATTGCAAGGGTTTGGAATTTAGCCTGTGCTTACAGAAGACACTGGAGTTTCTGATGACTCAACCACATCCGTTGTTGTTACAGAGAGCTGAACTGCAACGGAAGGAGCAACCAAAAGTGAAAGAAATAAATCCCCATTTAAACACATTTATCTGAAGTGAATTGCACTATGATCTTTGGAACCTGTTGGTAAGATTTTTCTACCGATAAACTTTTCCATTTTATTACAGCAGCTATAGTAGTATTTACCATGGCAGAAGTCACCAGGGTTCTTCCCAGACTGAAGCCCAACAGTTGCTGGGAAATCTTATGTTTTACAGGAACTAGTTCAATCTGAGAACTCATCTAATAACAGATCTGTCTACAGGCCTAAATTACCCTGGGCTGAAAA